AGCAGGGTACAGTCTTCATAGTGCCCCAATAAAACTGTTCCTGATTCTGGGTGGCCCATCAGTGGGACTGGTCTTTCGATCTACAGCACAGGCCTATTCCTCTTCAGCAAAGGATGTAGACAACTTTTTCAGGCTTACCTGCTAAAAAAAACCCTCAGCCCCAAAAAACAGCAAATTGAAAATACTTGGCTTGATCTTTTTCCAAAATGAAGAATGGTTTCTTGTTACTAAAAGCTCCAAAGATTTCATTCAGGTAATCTGAAATATGTGATTGGGCTATAAGTCTGTTCTATCAACACACAGTTTACATGCATAAAAATGGTGAGGAGACAGGCAATGGAGGTCAGTACAGCTATTTCCCAGATTCTTTATAATAAATCCCTTTATGCTTTGTTATGGCAGTCTCTATTTCACATTGTAGCATATTTTTGCTTACGTTGTCCTTGGCTGGGTTTCCCCATCACACACTTTCCCTGTACGAGTCCACCTGCAAGGCTGTCACATCACCTAGATTTACTGCGTATGTGCATTCTCACACAAAAACTTCATGAGCCTGTGACCATTGTTCCTTGCCACAGGCCATCACTCCGCAGTGCCTCGGGCCTCCCCATGTCCTGTTTACCTCGCTCAGGGAATTGTTGAGGAACCCTTGATGGGACACCAAGGTAATAAAAGCCTTTTGATCATCTTTGCCTGTATTGTGTTTGTGTATCTGACCCTGCTTCTGTCTGGTAAGGTGTCACCACTGGCAGAGGCCAGTCCAGTGTTGCCACTTGCATCTGACAGCTGTCTAGTCTGAACTTGTTGTCTAGGCTCTTTCTATTGTTAAAGAGACCCCCCTCCGTATGTTGATTCATTCTAGCCTAAGGTGTAGTAGCTTAAGACAGAGGCAGTTACCCTCTGCAGATACCTACCTCTATCCTTTGACTACAGAGGGAGCCCTTAGACTAGCTAGCCAACTGCCCTGCTACGTGTGGGAGAGATAATTCCTACAGCCTACAACAGGAGGAGTCTGGAATGAATTACCTACTAACAGATCTTGCAAAGTCCTCCTGTGTGCTCCTCCTTGTGCTCAACCGAAGTTTCCACATGCCCATCCCTGCAAGCTTGAGGACAGTCAGCAAAATGTCTGCTGACTGCTGCTATGGATGAGGACACTCAAGAGGAGTCTACTGCACAGGACTCAGTAATATGTTTATTGAACTCCTTTTTCAACACAAAACATCTACTTCATCCAATTTCTCCATAAAAAGGCAGGCTAAAGCACACCAGAGGAATGGGAAAGCAACTCCATCCATATGCATCAGTATGCACCTTCCCTCCTGCTGTCCTGCTTTGCCTGAAATTCTAAAACATGCTTTGACGAAGGGACTGGAATCAGCATTTCTCCTTCCACATGGGAGGCCTAGAAAATGAGATGAACTGCAAGGCCATCGCTTAATCTTTGCTATGGTCTTAGTGGCATACAGCTGAGGCCCAGTCATTTCTATGTAGGTAATCTGCTTGGTAATTTTACCAGTATTTTTGCCAACAGTGAACTGTCTCCATCTCTCTGTTTCCCACCACATGAAAAAGAGACTTCTTCAAGAAATTAGGAAAATTATGTCAATGCCCTGAGTGTATCCCCACATCTTGACTTCAACATCCACATAACATTTTAAATTTAAGGCAACAGTATTAGTGTTAGAAAAAGCTAGTTCTCTCTTACATTCAGCGGTTGATGGAGTAATAGAAGTACATCATGGTTTTGTTCCCTTGCTTCAATTCTGCCAGTGGTAGTATTGTGACAGCTTGTAGAAAGCCCCAGCTGAAGTAAGACAGTTTTGTTGCAGAAATTTTCAATTATTTTTTGATTCTTTTTCAGTATATCCAAGCAGTACTTCCTTGTTTATAGAATTTCAACTGAAGAGCATGAAGTTTATGTACTCTTTTCTTCCCTTCTTGCTCTGTCTAATTTTATAGATGGAGAACCTAAGCAGCTCTCTAATTTTATCAGACAAGCATTCTTCATCTGTCAATGTCTCTGACTAGGCTTTTCTCTCACTGCTTCCTCTGCTTCTGTCTCCTAGGCAGTTCTTTGGATTAGTTAATGTTTATAAAGCTCACTAAACCCTTACAGGAAAGATTCTAAGAGTAAAATCATAGAAAGTAAGTCTGAGAGATCTCTCCAGAGATCGTCTATTCCTTTCCCAAAGGCCGTGCTTTCTAGACCAATGAACACTTCAGTCCTTTCCCCTGTATTTCTTCAGAGTACCAACATACCTGAAAAAGGGATTTTCTGGTGGCTCTTTCCTTTCTAACAGGCCCTAACCTCTATAATATAATAATAATTTAGCTACAATTCAAAATATAGTCTCAGGTGCCTAAACTTAAGTGTCCAATATGAGATATTTCTTCTCTTTTGAACCTTTCTTTTTTCCTGTATTTTAATCTTGATCAAACTTTCTGAAGTAGCTTCCAACGATTTGCATTACCGTTTCAGAAAGAAACCATCCCTGATTTTCAAAGCTCAGAGAAACTGGAGCTCAGGCAGACTGAAAGCACTGTCCACTGGTCTTCATTCTAAGCATGCAGACTGGAGGCACAAAAAATTAAACTCTTTCAAAACAATGTGTGCAAAACTGAGCTTTCTTTCTCAAATTTGAAGTGAGTCATGAGTCGTGAGTCACTCATTCCCCATCACAAGGATCCATCAAATCCATTACACCAAACTCAGGACTGCTGCTTACCTCACAGATTATGAAACTATTATGTAGGTCTTACAAGGATGACTTATGTGATCTTTCCTAGAACAGGTATGTGTATGAGAGAAAATAAAAATAAGAATTTAACCATTTCTGAGAGACTTCCAATTTTAGCAGTTCTATCAGTATATGGATGCTTGCAGGTTTGTATATTTTTTTTCTCCCACATTTGTTTAGAAAGCATCATCTGCATAGGCTACTTGCTATACAACTGGGTCTTTTTCCTCTCCTCTGTGGGAGGGATTAAATCCCCAAATGTCCATTTGCTAAGTTTCCAGAATTTTTGCCATGACTTACCAGTTGGCTCTATTAGTTTCACCCGCCACTACTTTTTGCTTCGGCAAACTGATAGAGCAAGCAAAAAGAAGGAGCTTGGTGTCTCCAGAAAGTCCCTGAAAAAGGCATAAGGAAGCCCCAGTGTCAGAAAACAGGGAGAGAAGAGGACAAGGATTACCTCTGGTACCCCCAGACAATCACACTTACCTGTACCCCCTGGGCAATGGACTCCAAAGCGGTCTCACTCTCAAGAGCCAAGACGAGCCTCTTCTCCAGGCCACTGCCCCTCTTTCTCATGGGGCAGCAAAACCCAAGTGCCTTAGGCAGGATTTTTGATCCTGTAGGCCAAGCATTTCTTTACCAGGCATGGTAATTCACAAAAGATTACATTTGCAAATGGAACTGCTGAACTAGTAGCCTATACATAGAGTAGGTAGAGATATCCTGAGTGGTAAAAACCTAACTTTTCAAATTCAGACAGCAACTCAGAGGGGACATGGTATAGAAAGAGAACGTGGGTTTTGTCTCCCTGTAGGGAAGGCCCTTTCTTCGCAGGCTTAAAGGTTTTCAGTGGTTCATAGTCTATATTTACAGCAAAACCTACACAGCCCCTTCCAGATCAACAGGAAATATTTATGTTCTTTCAGCCATCACTGAGATGCTTCTTCCTAAAGCCTTACTTAGGTGCTCCTGAAACAGTTCTGTGAGTTGGTTATACTCTCTGGAACACATGCAGTCAGGTTACGTATCACTGGTTTTATTGAAACTCCACATAGATTTTCTAGGAAATTACAAAATCCAGCTATAATTGTAGCACAAGCCCGTCTTACAGCTTTTCAAGAATGCTGCAGGAAAACACCCAGCAGTCTTAGAGAAAATGGTCAACAGCTGATGCCAAATAACTGCAAATTTGAAAAATGTGGCTTTGTCATAAAACTAAAGACTCCTCAGGAAGCAGATTAAGTGGCCATATTACTCATCAGTCCTGGTTTATAACGATCACTCACAAAGTCATCAATTATCACTCAAACAGCTGGAGTCTGTTGCAGCTTCAGTGCCAATGGCATTGGTGAAGGGTATGTTTTAAAAAACTAAATGCATGACACTAGCCCATACACTCAACTATACTTCCTGTCCTTGAAGCAAAAATACATTTAACATTTTATGTTATTTTAATCTTTCTTTCTATTGTTTCAATCCTGCAATGTCACCACATCAAAAATCAGATCATTACAAATGGTTTTGCAAAAATTACAACGGCTGTCCAAGGAGGGGATCTACACCACACAGTCATGCAGTCTGCACTACACAGTGCAGTGTGGTGTAGACTACATGAGCTGGTTACATAACTGGAAGGAAGGTAGCTCTACCAGTAGTGCTCTGTATGACCCAATTAGCTCTGAAACCTCTGGACCTTGACTTGTTTCTCTTCACCATGCTTACCTAAAGAAAGTGTGATGTTGTCTAACATGATACTTCTTTGCATAGTACAAAAATATACTAATTTTGCTTACTGATTCTTTTTCACTAGCACTGGTGAAAGGGAGAACCACATGCCAATTATCTAGAAGTCAGTGCTAATGAACATGAATACCTTGGTGGTGGTGTTTCAACAGTCATTTTGTACACCTGAATTTAATTTTAAAAGCACACATTCTGTATGCTAGGTATCTCACACCCCTTTCTGCTGAGCTGCAGAAGGGTCTAGAGCAGCTAGAAATATTTACTGTCCCAAAACCAGGATTTTATTGAATTTAACCACCCAGTCTTAACCCTATAGAGATGTGGTAGTTCAGGTACTGACTGCTCCAGTTCCAGCAGGAGCAGAGCAAATAGACGCCCAAAAAGTCTTCATCCCTCAGTTCTGAACCCAGCCTGGAAACAGCGTTTTCAGAAAAGAAGAACCATACCCATAATTCTTGTAATAAAGTTTTGCAATAGATCACACAGGAAGTGCTATTTCCTATTTTCAGATATAGGGTTTAACTATGCGTTCACAAAGAAGAAGACATCATCAGACAAAACAAGCTTGATAAATCAGTGAGTAGCTAATTTTTTCCCTTTTTTTTTACATGTAAATGTGTATATACAGATGTAGATTCATTCAGTGGGGAAGGATATGTGCCTAGACAGTGGCAGTAGAGCTACCATTCAAGCAGAGGCACTATCTTTAAGAATAATCAGATCTTGTAATTAGCTTACAACTCAGGATAAGGCTAAATGTGAGAGTAGACAATTTAACTGGAAAAATGGTGTAGAAAATTATAATCTTTTTTGTACTATAAGCTTACTGGGTCTTGGTTTTGAAGCTGTTCCAGGAGGTCAGTAGCTTGAAAATGTCTTCTGCTAAGGATTTAAATTGATCAGACATGAAATCTTTAACACTTAATCTAACCTCCTAAGCCACATCTTGCTCTATCAGATGCAGATGTCAGTTGTTCTTCATCACTATCCTATCACATGGTTTCTTTGTATTATTCAAGCATTGAATCTGTTAAAGGTGTTGTTTCATTACCATGCTATGAAGGGATATGCTCTCTGGAATTGCTTCCTCTTTTTAATGTGATGTCTCAGAGGCACCACACTAGAAAGCCTGTACTCCAGTTCTCAGCTGGAGATATCAGGTTTATGACCGGTCATGATCTGGCTTGCAATTTTTGTTAATGAGGTTTTACACGAATAAAATTAATTGGTACTGCACTGGGATTGTACTATTCCTACACACAAGAAGAGGTGAGCTCCTCTGGTTGGATAAATGGGACTTGCCACTTTGGTATTAGCAAATTTTTTTGTCTATCAAACATGCATCTATAGCAACATTTGCTTTCATGGGAGAACTGCATTGTCATTTGCTAAGACCAGTTGACAGTGCCAGAGCAGTGGGCTTTAACTTCTCTGTGTGGATGCCTTTATAGCAATAACATGACAGGAGCATGATCCTATGATTTACGTTGGCAATCTCCACTCCAGACTATTATCCTTCTTTTTTATACTCAAATTCATCCCCGGAACGGTTGTGACTACAACTGTTGTTTGAATTACTCTGAATTCAATGTTTTATCCAAAGCAGTTTAAGCAGACATTGAGAAAACCCAGCTGAACAGAGATACTAGCACAGAACTTAGCCTACACAAGGGAAGAGCCCTCTTATAGTCATGATTTGGAGGAAGACATTTAATAGCTGTCTCAAATTTCTCCTTCTCAAAGTGCTTATTTTCAGTGCTTATGCTACTCTTTTGCTGTACGTTTGTTTAGGTAAGAATTGTCTTGCGACCACATAGACTGACTCTAACTGCAGAAAAGCTCAGAATTTTTGCAAGACTCTTTCTGGTTTTGGTGGGGAATGGAAACAGTTAGATCCTGAGGGTTCACAGAGAATTAAGCCTGTTTTTTCCAGCCCACAATATATCTTTCCTTGAGAGTTCTGCAGGGATGAAAAAAACTTATCAGTTAGGAGGCAAGCAATTCTGAAGAGATGTTTCTAATGCTCAACTGTTATAAAGGAAGAAGAGGTTTCCAAAGCAAAGTTTAATTTTGGAAGGGACTGTCTTTCCCCAATCATATCCTGGAAAGAAATCTTGTGGTCACTACCATATGAAAAGTTAAGTTTGAAGGAAACTATCAGCTCAGTCTTACATACAGAATTTAGTGTACACTTCCATCTTTTCCTTCAGATTTCTTGGTAACTCAAGAAAAGTACGTACGCTTATGCTTGCTCCTCAATATGTCTTTGGTGTCTGTGCAGAGTCTTGTCTGTAGTTTTGCCTGTCCACAGACTCCTGGAAAGTCAAGTCAAAATTAAAGAGATAGAGCTGTTAGGAAACATTAGTTTCGGTTTTGCTCTGTGCTACACTGTACTTCTCCCTCTTTATATATTGCCCTAGATGCAGCTGACATACTTCTAAGCTGACTACAATTCATTAAGCAATTTCTTTTTCTGTATGACAAACACTGCCATTTGTGAAAAGGAGGAGAGTGAGGGTAGGGGGAGTAGAACTGTGTTACCAGTTCATACGTTTCAGAAGAGAAACGTTGTCTTACACTGTAAAAAGGGAAAAGGTACTTCGGGGGGTCATTCAGTTTTGAGGTAAGTGGTTCCATTAATCCGCTGATGCTCTTCTAACTTGTAGTTATTAAATGTTCTGATTTCCATGAGGAAACTTTGTCCAAATCCCCTTTGCAGCACAGCAGATGCATTGAGCTGTGACAACTGCCATCCCTGAAAAAGTCAGTGCAGCAACTCAGGAGCCTCTTTGCTTGAATTACTTTAACATGAAAATGTCTGATAGTCATACCAGCACCTACACAATTCTATAGCTAAAAGTGACACACTATAGATAACAGCTAATACTCAAGAGCTAGCAAGGCTTTTCTCAAAGCAGCCAAAATACAGAAATCTGAATAGACATGATTCAGAGCTATATCCTCATTACAAGAATCTCTGATGTTGCTGTAAAAGCAGCTTTGTTTAAACTTAAAGAAATGAAATTACATTTACTTGGGCTCACAACATTAAAATTACTAAGAAAAAAAAAATTCTCCATCTAAGATATAACCCCATTTTCTCTGCAAGAACTCTTTCCCAGGGTGCAGATATTTGGCCCAGGGGTTGCTCTCACTTCACTGTACCCAACTGCTTGGGAGACTCAGAACATAACCAGTTTGCCGAGGGGAAATGAGAGTAGCCTCTTATTGGAATGTTCATATATTTAGATGCTCTTTCATGATAAGAAAACAGGATAAATCAGAAGGGAAGGAGGCACCAAATAGAAAGTTCTCCTTCTCTTATATTTCTACCTTAGGTTTGACTCAGTTGCCCACTTTTGCAGAAATTGTACAGAATTTCTGTTAGCAACCAAAACCACCCTGTGCATGCAGAAACTGTGGGTGTGTGGGCAGGACAGTGGGCACTGCTGACTGCATGCAGTCCATAAAGTAAGTGAGAAAGCCCCACAAATTAAAATCATTAAGACTTCCTGAATTTGTAATTTTGGAAGGAAAATAAGACAAATGATCACAAGTTCCAAAAATCAGAATCTCTCAGAAGAGCCTGTTAATACTGCTCAAGAGCAGCAATAAACCTAGAAATTTCTTTGCTAACACACCCATTCCTGAAGGTTCATGCCTAGATAATTTTAGAGCCAAAACCAGACTTTCTGTCAAGGGCTACAGCTTCTGCAGAAGACGTTCCTTTCTGCATGAAAATGAAAATTGGAAAAATGGTTAAAGATAAATAAAAAAAAAATAAATCAAATGTAAACAGTAGTTTCCAATAGAATTTGTCAGCCAGATCAGTTTTCTAGAGCTCCTTGTGATTAACATTGCTTGTGCACAAAGGATAAGGAAATTTTTAGAAAATATTTCAGAAAATATTTTTAATATTTTGTGCTTGTGCAGAGGAGGGTTTGACTTCTATCCCATGTAAATGCTCAAAGATTTCCCATCAAGTCACAGACAGTAACAAAAATAACCGCAGTACATACTGTCTTTCTAGGCACCATCAGTGTGAATTGTACAGGAGCTCAATTTTAGTGGTGAGTGGTGGGAAGGCATACTGAGTCTGGTTGGTATGGACTTAATTTTCTTCACAGTAGCACTTATGGTGACTCAAACTGACCAAAAGGATATCCTGTGCCATACAACATCATGTTCAGCAATAAAACTGAGGTGGGGGGAGGCGGTGGGGGGGGATGGTATGTATTTCCACAGTAGGCATGGCTTAGAGACTCACTGGCCATCCCATCTTGGTGGGAGGTGGCAAGCATCTGTCCCTTTCTAATTTCTTGTGGGTATTTTTTTTTTTTTTTTTTGCTTATTCAACTGTCTTTATCCCAACCCACAAGTTTTTATTGCTTCTGACCTTCTGATTTTCTCCTCCATTCTGCTGTGGGGACAGTGAGTGAGTGACTAGATGGAGCTTAGCTGCCAGCTAGGGTCAACCCATCACAGGAGATAAGACTTGGGCAGGAAAGGAGACAAATCTGTAAGAAATCAGTTACCTTTAGTTATGTTATGCCCACAATTATTTTCTGCTGTTTTTAAATCTCTAAATAAGTTCCAAACAAGATTAAACAAATTATTACTTTCTTTCTATACAAATACAAAGATTCAACAAGGCTAAGTGATCCAAGGGGAGGTTTATATTGGTTATTAGGAAAATTTTCTACACCAAAAAAGTTATTAAGCTCTGGAACAGGCTGCCCAGGGAAGTGGTTGAGCCACCATTCCTGCAGGTATTAAAAAGACATGTAGACATGACTCTTAGGGGCATGTGGTAGATGTGGTAATGTCAGGATTACATCTGGTCTGTTCAAACTTAAATGATTCTATGATTCTACATATATATGAGTGTATATATATGTGTATATATATGTATGTGTACTTGTGCATATACACACAGAGAAAATTGTTTTAACAATGTATAATCACTAAAATTTGTTCAAGAAGATTATTTGTATTATATATATATCCACTGAGATCAAGACCCAGATTAAAACTAGGTCCTCTGGATGCTGAATGGTTCTCAAACAGCTGAGTAGGCTGACATGAGCTTAAGACTATTCAGAAATTGCATGTGCTACAGCTCAGAATGGCCCATCATGTAATTAAATGGAGTTTCTCCGAAAAAGCAGACTGGGGGCCTGCCTCTGTGTCACTTCAGCCACAGGCTGAGTATCTTCAGTTACATTTAGTCTTGCAGACCTCAACTGTAGAGAGAACGAAGTGGTGGTATTGAGAATGTGGTCTATGCAAAAGCTGTCTGCAATCACACAGGATAGACCTCGCTATTGAAGAAAGTTCCTGGTGGGGCTGTAAGCAGGAGCTGTGTTACATGAGAGGTCAGGGATCAAAACTGAAGGGACAGAGAGTTTTGGCAACCCTTGCACTTCCTCAATCACTATGTCACCTCACTGGAAACACTGACTGACAAAGGATGAGGGACGATAGCAAACAACCGCTGCACATGAAGAACTCTTAGTGCACACTCACAGCGGTGGCCATCTCTGCCTTTTGCCTTTGTGCCCCCTCCGAGGCACTGAGCCAATCCAAACTCGGCAGCCCCCGAATCATGGCTGCTGAGCAGCTACTGAAACAAGGAATCAAAACTTCTCTCATCCCCGAGCACCGGGGAGGTCTGTCAGTTGACAACAGATACAGGTGCTGCAAGCCACGCTGACTGCAACTGTCATCTTTTATGCCATTTGCCAAGGCGTTTGCCTATCTGTTCTTTCCACAGGGCTGCGTACCATTTTCATTCCAGAGCCACCTAAAACCAGCACGCTTCCATGGCCTACGCCTGACCCAGACTCGGGAAAGGACACAGCGTTTGCCATTCTAACCCAGAACAACGCTGCCGACCTACTGCTCTGCGACACCCACGACAGCAGGTGCACCAGGTGGGTATGTTCAGTACTGTGCAAAGGTCCTTTCTACACCTCCTGTGGCCTCCCTCCCACAGGCACGAAGGCTCCCAGAAGTCAGGAACAACCTGCACAAGCGGCGGTGGGTTTGGTTCACCCGTGTCACAGAGCCTTTGCGGGCACCGGCTGACACCTCGCCAGTGCCTGCTCCGCCTTGGCTGAGGGCTACAGCGCGGGCTGGCACGATGAGAAGGCGCCCAGGTCGCGAGGACAAGCACGGCTGTGCTCTGCGCGCCAGCCGCTGTGCCTGCCTGTCGCTGCCTTGCCGGCTCTCTCCACCCCTTTGGAAAGCCACTGCTGAGCACAGCAGCCCCAGTCTGCCCGCTGCTCAGAGTAAAGTCATCACTCCTCGGCTCCTGGGTGGGTCGGGCAGCTGAGAGGCTCTACTGGGGAGGAAAAAGGCACCAGGCAGCGTACACGTCGGAAGTGATGACACGCAGCACACTTCCAACGTGCAGCGACGTGACTTTGCAGGTGTATAGGTGCGTTTCCTGGGAGCTTTGCAGCTTCATTCTCTTCCACACCTTGACGCAGTAATGCTTCAGTGCTCAACAGCAAAAAGCTTTCCAGATGGAGACACCAGTGTGTTTCATTCCCCTCCCTGCCAGGCCTGCTGTCTCCTCGAGTTTAACATCCTTATCTTCCTTCCCAGACCAACACACCATGGAAAACCATACCATGGACTTAGCCGACTGGCCCCTGACAACAGAATTCGACTACAGCGATTCAGCGCCGTGCCTGGGAACTGAGGAAAAGCACTTTGCAGCAAAACTTTTGCCACCGCTTTATTCTTTGGTGGTGATATTTGGCTTCACAGGCAACATGCTTGTTGTCCTTATCCTGGTCAAATACAAGCGACTGAAGAGTATGACTGACATCTACCTGCTCAATTTGGCAATTTCTGATTTGCTGTTTGTATTTTCTCTCCCTTTTTGGGCTTATTACGCTGTTCACGACTGGATTTTTGGGGAGGTGCTGTGTAGAATTCTCTCAGGTGTCTACCTCCTTGGCTTCTACAGCGGCATCTTTTTCATAATCCTGTTGACCCTCGACAGGTATCTGGCCATAGTGCATGCAGTGTTTGCTTTAAAAGCTAGGACAGTTACCTACGGCATCCTCACCAGCACTGGCACTTGGGTTGTTGCTATTCTGGCTTCTGTACCTGGGATGGCATTTCACAAAACTCAAAAGGAAAATACACGTTATACTTGCAGTGCTCATTATCCAGCTGATGCCACAATAAATTGGAAGTACTCCTATACTTTAAAAATGAACATTCTGGGACTTATTGTCCCAATGCTCATTATGATTTTCAGTTACTCACAAATTCTAAAAACACTGTTGAGATGTAAGAATGAGAAAAAACAGAAGGCAGTCAGACTTATTTTTGTGATCATGATTTTCTACTTCATCTTCTGGACACCGTTCCATATTTCTTCTTTTCTGCATACATTTCAAAATTCATTTTTCATTGTAGATTGTGAAATCATAGGTCAACTGGAGAAAGCAATCCAAGTGACAGAAACAATCTCAATGATCCACTGTTGTATTAATCCTGTGATCTATGCATTTGTTGGAGAAAAATTTAGGAAGTATCTTCATAGCTTTTTCCGAAAGCATGTTGCAGCCCACCTCTGTAAAAAATGTCCAACTCTTTATGGTGAAAAATTAGAAAGAGTTAGCTCCACATTCACACCATCCACTGCAGAGCATGACATCTCTACTGGGCTATAAAAATACATTAAAACATTACTTAGTAAATGTTGCATCACTTGCTTTGTCTTAAGGACTGCCTGATATTACTTTATGTCAACCACTAATGAAAACTGTATGACCCTCAATTCTTGTAGTTAATCCTGGAGTTTCAGCATTTTCCATTCTTAAACCAAGAGAATCAGTGAGCTCTCTTGGAAGCATTAACACCGTATCTGGATGACATGGAGGTTTGAATGGGGCCCAGAATAGCACGATTCTGTTTCTTCACTCTAATTCTATCTAATGATGAAATCTAGTGAAATTTGCCTGGGGGGCAATACAATACTGAAGAGTCTAAGGAGTAACATGTTATCTCACAAGAGCCATTTGCTGTTATGTGAACATTGTAAGATCAGCACTGGGAGGAAGCTTTGAGGATTGATGTATCTGTTTAGTATTCAGCATTAATGGAAGGCTTTTCAAAGTGCTTGTATTTTTTCTGCAACATGGCAAGGCATTTGATGGGGGAAGGACTTCTAGTTTTCTTCATTTTTCCCCCCTACCCCTTATTTTCCCTACCTGAATAAAAGATGTTTCCATAAAAAGGAATTTGAGGACAAGTATGATAAATATCAAGATAATATCTCTCCTTTGATGGGAGAGTTAACTGACCTTTAACTTACTGGGGCCATTTAGCCCAAGGATCTATCTGTCAGATAATAGTGTAGTCATTTTTAAACATAACTCTTTTGACTATAGGCTAAGTTATAGTATTTTTATTTTAGTTCTTTAATTTTATGACTGCTATATCATTGTTCAGTTACTAGTATTTTCCAAAGTGGGCTTTTAATTGGCAACATTGTGTTTTTTGTGGGTGCAATTTTGCAAGTAACTGTACACACTAAGTCTACTGACTGCACAACAAGACAACGGTGCACCCCCAAGAAACATGAGCTTGTTTCTGACAAACCGCATCCCTCCAAGGAAGACAGCACTTAACCGATAAAAGCACATCAGCAAAGATCTGCAAAGCCAGAATGAAAAGGGACATGAAGTTAGTAAAGAAGAGGAGGGAGGATCATAGTGGAGAACTTGCTTCAAACTGTAAGGAAGTGCAGGTGAGCACTCCTCATGCAAGTGAACTGTCCTTTCTTCCTCATTTACTTCAAAAGGCACCGCTCATGCATGTAAGGCCTTGCTCATGGAAATCTGGAGGGGCAGGTTCAAGTAACCTCCAGGCAACGTATGGACACAAGAGGGGATTCCACACTATTTAATATTAGGCACACGACTGAGATGCCTAACAAACAGCAAATCTCCTCAAAGACCCTCAGTGGTCAGTAGAGAAAAATAGATGCCCAAGTCAGAGGCAAACGTATGATTTAAATGGCCTCTGGGAAAGATTACCTGTCCTACTGTAGAAGGAATCTGGAAATGCCAGCCTCTTAATTTAGGTATCAGATGCCTTTATCTGAGTGGTGCAAATACTCTTCCCCCCTCTAGCCTTATAACAACAAGGCACTGCTTCTATTAGTTGTTAGCTTTTAACCTATAAACTATTATAATCTGGCCACTACCTTGTGAGGTTAATAGCCACAGATAGACTAAAGACCAAAAACTATCCTCACAGTAAACCTTCTTGCTTAGAAATAACATTTTTCCTTCCTTTTTGTATTTTTTTTACTGCACTAAAGTAAAAGCACCTTTTTAATATTAAAGCATAAACTTGTTCAGTGCAATACAAATCCTGCTGTAACTGTGATATTTCTACTGCTTTGTTTTCTTTTAAATTCTTGTCTTGCTGGAATTACGTTTCTTCCTGTTTTTATGCTAATGCAGTGAAAATAAAATCTGTGTCTGAAAAACAATGTATACCCTGTAGCCCATGTTTTCCCCACTAAGCAAAAGGGCATCAGCTCTGCTCTCAGAATGGAGGTGGCAAAAAGATGCATCTATGGACTTAAACACTCGCAGTACCACGCTCCAGCGAAAGAAACTAAACCAACCAAGCGGAGAACTGTTTGCCCAGTCCAGAAGCTACTGTAGCTGGTACAGCTTTTATCCACCCACAAGCTTAAGAGTGCATTATCATAGCCTTGGGAAGTCTGGTGCCACAGATTTTAGATGGGTGAAATTTGGAGAAAGAGGGCTGTCTACGTTATAAATAGGGGAAGAGGAGGAATAAAGGAGGGCAGTAAGAGATGGCACTCTGTTAATATTGGGATAAAGACAGGATTCTGGATAGACTTTCTGCAGCTAATTTCAGATCTTGCACTGTATAAAGTGACCTGAAACCAGGTGGTATGTCTGATCTCCCAAGTTTTATGTATAAGGAACTTTAAGTATTCAAAGTTCAATATGGGAATATGTTTCTGCTTCACCATGTCATTCTCCCTGTTTCACTGTCCCAATTTCTTTTTTCAGTTTACGATCCACACCTCCTCTCTCCCCCACACACTCTTTTCTTCTGTCCACCATGGGATATGCTAAATTCTATACCCACTGCCTTTCTTTTCCAATTTTCATTTTCTATTTTGTGTGGCAGGAACACAAGCAAACTAAATGTAAAGATTATCTTATTGTTATGTTATGTGCCCAGGCAGGATAATCCTTGGTCCTTTATTGTAGCTTTGCACTAAGACAAGCAAGGCTCTAGAGAGTTTTGTGGCAGGTTTTGAGTCTTAGATATGGCTGAAGCATGGTGTAGCAACAGGCCAGTGAGCTCCAAATTAGGCTAGCAGGACTTCAGGCAGTCTGGTCTCGGTGGGATAGAGCTACCCTTGAGGAAGTTTTAACAAGATCCCCAGTCCCCATGAAAGAGAACACAAGTCACCTTGGAAGAGAAGTGGCAGAGATTTTACATACAGAGACAAATATTCCACAAATCAAGCTCTGCAGGGAAAAAGCATTGAGATGAAGATACAGTGTGTATGTAAGATCTAGAGAAGCAGGCAGACATACAGAAACTGTGTGGTGAACTAGCGGTATGTTAAGAAAAAGGCAAGGCATACCAAGATTCTAATTACAGCAGAGAAGAAACTAACCCGAGGAAGAACCACTGCAGTGCTTGGGAGATATCTGAGCTGCTCTGGTGAGATATTGAGGAAACGAAAGCAAGCATTTGAGAGAGGGTACAAGTAGCACCAGAACACCAAAAAGTTTCAACATAGGACCTCTGCGAACACTACAAGTAAATTGTTGCTGTACAACAAGCGTTGAACAGCTAAGGGAAAATTGTTACAAGTTCAACAGTTTTGGCACTGAACTTCCAAAGAGATAATGTGTTGACTGGGCTTTCAGCATGCTTATGAAAAGAAGACCTATGTGCCGTGGGCAAATACCTACGCGCAGCCCCCAAACCAGTCAAACAGTTTAGTTTATGCGCAGAACAGGACAGAGTCTGACCTTCCTGTTAGGAGATGCTACTGCCACATGTTCAGAAGCATGTGGAGAGAAATTCCCCGCACAGCAAAAGATAACTCTGCCGACTGTCGGGCAGACTTCCTAAGGGGCAAAAGGAAATGTAGCAAAAGTGCATATATGGTATTGGTGAGTGCTGAGCAGTACTCACAGCCAAGCACCAGATTTATAATCACTGCCATTGGTTCACCTGTAGGAAGTATATAATGGACAAACATAGAAACAGTGAAATTTCTGGTAACTAGCGCATGGGGATGTTCCTGTCATAAGACCTTCTTATCTGTTAACCCAACTGTGACCTTATGTGTATGTATTTTAGATAAGATAAAATTAAATGGAGTATAAAGGGAGAAAAGTAGATGAAAATGGATAAGTAGGAAAAAGTAGTGGCAAAAATGAATTACTTTATTAGCTTTTATTTATTAGCTTTAACAGAGGCTAATAAAGTTATAGCCACAGTAATAGGAAGATCAGGGATAATTATTTTAAGCAGAATGTTAAAAGATTTAGGTGAGTGAGAGAGACTTCCCATTATGAACCTCCAAAATAAATATCACTCCTTCCAGTGAAAACTACAAAAGGGATAAATGCAAAGAACATAAGGACAAATTTACATGGTATCTTATTCCAGTTATCAAAAGACAAAGATATTAAGTGCCAGGAGAATGACAAGATGCTGACCAGGTTAAACAGCACAACCAGAAGATACTGCTCATTTTGAAGTTTAGTTTTGCTGCTGTTTTCAACCGCTGATGTGTACTGGCCTTCTCCTAGTGGCTACTGTGGTTATTGTGGCCTTAGAAGCATTACACCTTAGTATAGTAATAAAAAAGAAAAAAAAGTTAATAGAGGAAACAAAACCAAACCAGTAATTCTGGCACATTTAGAATACCAGTAGCAATCAGGACAAAACAAGGATGTTTGTCTAGAAATAAAGGGTGAAGGCATTCCTTTGTACCCATATTCTGGTGACACTTGCCTAATAAGGAGCTGTACTTCATTCAGAAAATGGAATGGTAGGAAAAAGAAATGTTGTGTAAGTTTGTATAACTGCTAAGCAGTTTTTTAATTCCTGTGACAGTGAGAGCAATATCGATTTGAGTGTTTTAAGTCTGAAATGACTGATCCTGGGAAGGTGGGGCCACAACACTGAACTGGAAGAGGGCAGCATTATCAGATACACAGGCCAATGTACAAAACAGCACAATCCTTTAAGTGACAATCAGCTTTGCAGAACTGTCTACAAGGTTGTGGCAGTAGGATGCTAACCATATGACACTTAGTAACACAACCTATCCTGATACCAGACTTTTTGAATGGAATGGAAACCAAGTGGATGGAAATGAAGGAGGCCTTTGGATATAACTTGCAGGGACACTATCTCCAAGTATGGACAATTACAGATTACATCTAACCTTTGGCACCCAAAAGTACTTTCTGGTTCCTGGGTCCTGGCACATACCCTGTCATCACACAGACTATGTCCATCCTTTCCGTGATCTGGTTTCCACTGGGAAGAAATTTGGTGTGTGATTTTCCCAGCCTGCCTGATCAAAGGTCCAGGATTTACATGTACACTGAGGAGTATTTCCAATTCACAGCTGAGATATCCCCAACAAGCACCTCTAGACCTACAATTTATGTACTATAAATGTACCTGAAAACAGCAAAGTGTGAGAATTAAAGGCCTATGCAAAAATGAGATGCTGAGAGATGAACATTTGCGAAATGCATAGCTATGGCCCAAAAGTAAAAACTATTGTACATGATAACCCCTTATATATAAAATAGGGCAGCATACATCAGAAGCCTGGATAAAAATGGTAGAAGGAAGCAATGCTTTCTTCCTCCTTGCTGCATGAGGAAACACAGCTAGTTCAGTAAGAGGAGCTTGGGGAAAGCCAAAACAAAAAATAATACCATGAAAATGGAATTAATATGTGTTGCAATGGATAATTATGTACGTGCAAGATTTACAAGAGAGAAACAAAAAGAAAACAGAATAGGTAGGAAAAGCCCTTGATCTTACTGCCAGTAAACAACCATGTGAAGAAGTAGTGTTAATCCAGATTAGAAATGCTTGTGTCTTCCAGAGTTTGGTTTTGTAACCCAGTTTCCTTGAACCTGTGAAATGTGTAAAATGTTTTGTTGTTTGTCTTTTTGACTAGTGTCCGTAACAGAAATCTTAGGGTGTGGTACATAACATTTTTTCCCTTACTTTCCTCAAAACAATGTATCTCACAGATGTAAAATAGGATGTGATTGTACGGTGGCAGCAAAAGATTATTCACTAGCACTTGAGAGGAAGAAAGTCTGGTAAGAAAAAATCCCTAAGCAACACTAGTTTTAGCTTCATATCTTTATTCAGCCTCTTTAAAACAAAGACATCGAACTATTACTGATGAAATAAAGCATATGCTAATACTAACCTAATTTGGACATGGATTTTGTGAATATAACAAGTAACAAAATGAGATATAATTGGGGAAACCAGTGGAAAAATAAATGCAACCAGTCTGTGTTCATATGTCTTCATTAGACCTCTTCTCCAGATGAAAAGGATGATCTGTTTTGCTGTAGTTACAAACTTTGATAAGTGTTGTGCACTATCATATTGTGTATATCTAAGAAAGGTATCTGCCATTGTGTCCTACACCTTTTTGATTCCCAATCTTTCTTCCTCGTGTAGTGCAAGTTTGTAATAAATTAAATGGAAACTGTTAGTTGCATTTTCAAATTTCTGTACTGATAATTCTGCTTGATGACGTTAGTATGTCATACTGGTATGTGAGCATCTGGTATGTCTCCTGGTCGATATATCAGTACTGGTGTAAACTTCACATAAATGATGACACCCCTTTGTGGGAGTGCCATATCACTTAGATACTAGATAATTCAGTGTGATGGCCTGATTACCGTGAAGATGAATCATGTGATCAGTCACTAGATAGAAGAGATTGATGAACGCAGTTTGACTTGGCAGTGTACATGGCTGCATACTGGCTGAGTACATCAACTTGAGCCACACAGGTAAGGAACAAAACACACTACCATTCCAGGAATGTCTTCAGGGAGGGATTGAGCGTCACACCACTAAACATAACTCCCACTCATCTCTGAAAGTAAAACCATAATAGGTAAAACTCCAAACTACATCAACCCACTGTATTATTCCTTTTATTACTGAACAATAGCTTAAATTTCTTGGTAAAATTATGAGGTTCACCTGTAGGTAAAGATTCTTAAAATCTGCTGTAGCTCATGGCAAGCAGCAGTGCAGTTTTACAAAGAGATGCTGGTCAAGAGATTGAGAAAAACTGAAAAAATCTGACTTGTAACAATGGCTGTGCTACCTGAATTGTCTATACCTCAGTGTTGACACACACACTGGATGGAGGCAATCTGGAGGTCACAGGGAGGAGGAGGTGATGCAGCAGCAAGACGGCCAGTCCCAGGCTGGTGTGATGGAGCTTCAGATCGGATGGGAGGTCAAGTCCTGCAGGGGCCCATCGAGAGCGACTGAGGGGAGTAAGGGAGTGGAGAGGGAGACAAAAGAAAGATCTTGTCCTAAGAGCATTGATGAACAATACGCCACCAGCACCCCAGTGCCCAGCAAACAGCACCAGGGGCCTAGACTCGCCTACAGCCACAGGCAAGACCTGATCCAACCTGACTTCCCAGCAGCTCTGCTTATCTGCAGCAGGTGTAGAGTTAATTGAACTTATCATGTAGGTGCTGATAATAAAGTCACAGTCCAGGTGCCCACTGCCAGAGCGTGTCCCTGTATTTGGGCTGCCAAGTGTCACAGCTATTCACACTTTGTGTGGGGAGTCTCTCATCCAGCTGTAAGACGCAGCTGGTGAGCAGACCAGAACAATTCCCCTTAGCTGCTGTAATGTGAGTGGCAGAGGCCCTCTGTTGGTATGCAACACCCTCTGTGATCTTCTGGTGCTAATCAGTAAATGAAATACCCAGCTCTGCTTGATGATCAGACTGAGCTATGAGAATGGAAAGCTATAAGCAACAAAATCAAACAGATTAATAAAACCAGTGAATCTGTGGTAACAAGGGACTATCTCTGAAGACCAGCCTACCACAGGTCTTACTTTTCAGTTGTTGTTAGTTTGAGTATTTGAGACCAGTCTTGTGAGAGCATATTTCAGAATGGAAAGCTTGATGAAAAACAGGCAAGTCCAAAACCAGGTTTCAGACTGTTTCCTCTGTTCATACAATGTAAGATTATGAAAGATTTTAGAGTCTCCAGTAGGTTCAGTAACATGTAACAAACAGTGAACAATGAAGCAGGCTTCAGAAAGAAATCCTTAAAATGTCTGTTAATGTCAATATGTAGACTGTCTAGGAATTATACATTGAAAAATTAATTTGATACAGTATTTTTAGAATTATAAGGATTCATTATAAAAGTGCATATTTTTTTTTTGTCAGCAAAGTTTGGCAGCAATTAGGAGCTTGAGTCAGGTGTAGTGGAATCATTGCTAGAAGCAGCTCTTTCCACTGACTGTATAGGGGGTCTAATAGAGTCCACCACATAAGGTAGTATGAACATAACTTTAGAATACCTGACAGTGGCCATTAATTTTGACACTGAGAATCCAGCCCTTAGGGAGCTCATTGGAACACCTGATTAGGAAAGGAAGAAAAAAATCTATTGTTCTTATGTAATAAAGACCTTGACTAGTGCCTCATGCAAAGAAGGTTTGACAAGGAAAACAGGCTAAGCTTTTTGCTTTTTACCATCTCCCCTCAGATCTGAGATGTAACTCAGGAGCTGTGATTCCCTTGATTTCCATTAAGGATGGCAGCATCCAAAGCAAGACATCTCAATTGGGGTTTTGGCATTTTAAAAACTTTTAAGGATGCTAAGGACTGGGTGCAGGAAAGACATCTCTTTAGTGCCTTCAGTAAGTTGACAGGATGAGATACTCCAGAACCCTCCAAAGAGATGGCAGGGGGAAACAGGGGGTTACACTTTATTAGGTATCTTCTCAACTTTTCTCAGGCATTTGATAAGGCACTGTCTCTTTCTTGCCTTCTCTGTACCTTTCCCACCTTCTGTGTGGTTTCTTTGATGTCTAAGAAGAATCTAAAAAGCTGATCACGGTGCAGCTTCAGTTTAATTCTAGAAGTCACAGGAATCAGCCATAAGGAAATCAGTTGATAAGAAATGAGATTCTATCAGGCTTTTATGAAGTTTAACTCCAAAAAGTAAGTAACAGTGCTGTTTTAAAAGAAGGTCAGACTCACTATATAAACTAAGTCATAGTCTTATGAGATGGATTAAAATAAAAAAACACAGTCCAAAAGACCAGGTAAGTGAAAAATAGAAGAAAATCTCAAAAAATATAAGGATTGAAACTCAGAACAAGCCAACAGAAAGTGCAAATAATTCTGAATAAAAATGTAAGCATTATTCAGAAGCTCTACTGTTCGTTCATGGACAAAACCCATGAAATAAATTTAATGATTGAGAAATAGAGGGATGAACCTCATGTAAACTGTTCTTAATTCAGAGGTTAGCTAAATGAAAAAGAGAAAACAACAATATAAACCCTTTTTCTAAAACTACAGCTGTGAGTTGTGAAACCTTGAGTTGAGATCCTAGGAGGATCCTCCAGTTTCAACATCTCTGCACATCTCAGAGTTAGAAAAGTAACATCTGATGACCCATTTTTAGAAAAAAGAGAACTGCTCCTTGATTTTTTTTAAATGAAAACAGATTTGTTTGCTAGAAGTTTTCAAACGATACATCCTTCTTCATGCAGGAAGAGGTGTTTTTGACCTCCTCCTCGTGACTGACAAATCAGTTTAGTGTTGCTCTTGATGTAATAATCCAAGCCATCACTTGCACCATAAGATATATGGTAAGTCATCTTTGCTTTGTTTCTTTTTTTTTTTTTTTTTTAACATTTAGTAGTGGCTTAGGTAGTCTAATGCCTGAGGTAAAAATTACTTCTGGAATCTTGCCAGTGTACTTATATTTAAAAATCACTCTGGGGAAAAGCATAGGATATGTTAAATGAAATAATCTATTTTTAAAGGACAGAATCACTAGAAGACTTGAGCAGAGGATCCAGGTAAGCAAAGAAACAAATCTCTAGAGATTGATCTGAGTAAGAAATATAATGTGGTATGCTTCTCTGATTTTTTTCTCTGAAGATGATACATAATGATGGAAATCTGGATTTTAAAACTGTTACTGAAAAGACAAAACAGCTTATTTGAGTGAAGAGTACTTACGCTTCTCACAAGATGACTACAGAAAATCTGACGTTTTATTTTAAACACTCTGCCTCATGGAACCTGATTACATGCAGCATTGCTTAAAATTTTACCTCTGTTTACTGCACTTTTTTAATAGTTATCATTTTATAGCACTGTGCAAATGAATAGAAACTCACTTTAATAAAATCTTTGCCTCTTTAAAAACAGAGAGCTCTGACCTGAAACTCAGCATGAAAGAATGACACGTTTGCTCAGCTATTTTATGGAGAGCTTTTATCTTCAAAACTGCATGACTGCTAGTCTCAACCAAAGCAACAGAATTTGTATAGCAGATTGTAGTTTTCTAGAAATACTGCATTTACCTAAACTGTATTCAAAATAATATAGACCTCTTTTTGAAATATCCTCTCTTCAGATATCTTCCAGGATTATTTTGGGGTTTTTTTCCTAATGATCAGGAAACATAAGCCCAGTCAGATTCTCTCATTAGGTAAACAACCCAGGTCAATTAACCCATTCTAGCCAGTGGCCATCACTGTTTCCTCAAACAGTGAGAATATAGGATAAAGCACAAAACCACTTACAATTCCTTTTTCTGGTTTCCAAATTAGTATCTGTAGTTTCCATTGTTAGCATGTGCTGGGTACTATGCACAGTTCAGAGTAGTAAGTATTTTTTGCAGAGAGAGGCTTCTGAAATAAAGTCTAGGCTAGAGGAACAGGGCTCAGTCAGCGGAAGTAACTGCTCAGAGGGGAGACCACAGTTTAAGCATGCAAAAAGGGTCGAAAGGAAGAAGATAACATGAAGGGAAGACGTGGTTGTCAATCTCAGGCAGAGTAAAAGGAGGGAAGGCACCAAGATAGAAGTTAGCAAGAAGGGGCTGTCGCGAAAAGAATAACCACAATAATATCAAGGCAGTGTTTTGCAATAATATTTGCATGAATCCTATCAATTACATACTCATAAAATCCCACTCTGGGTTTATGACCCAGATTTTCTTCACACTCATGTTTATGCACGAGCATCACACAGCTGCAAGATGATCAAGATAGGATGTGCTGGGTCTGGCACTGTGTTGCAGCCAGTCCCTCACCCCATACTCCCAGTATACAGCATATCTGACAGACACATCAGAAGTGGGGATATTTAGCTATATGCAGTACCAGGGACTTGTACTGTCAGGGCGTGCCACATAGATCTAACAGATCTAGCCGAAGGGAATATTAAATATTTACACAGTCCCCAAGTCTTGCCATGCTTTGAAATAAATAATGTTTTGGACCAAGGAGTGTTTTATAAAGGTGGGGTTTTTTTTCTGAAAGAGTTGCTGAAAGTACTTAAGAAATGTAAACCCTTAGATACTTTAAAATCAACTTATTTACTTCCAACACACCTGAGCCACAGCCACTTCCTTTACCAACAAAACCATTATTTCAGTAGTGTAATAACTATGTAGTTAGTACGGCTGTGGAAAAAAACTGTTTCACAGAGATTGCCAGAGCTTCCTGAAAGCTGGTCTTTGAGGATTTTGACAGCACTTATTTTCTCCCCAAGAAATTATATCTCGGCAAAGCTGAGACACAAACTGTTAAAACTTGCCAATTTTCTCTTATTCCTTGTTCTCCAGAAGAAAACTTCATGCCATACTCAACAGGCCAAAGTCATGTTGGAACATGGATGTTTTTATTCTTGATAATGTTAGGAGCAGAGTTGACAGCCAGACTCAGGAAGAACTTAGGGAAGGGGTGGGAAAAAGCTCTGCAAAAGCAGCATGTCATTTTGTTTACAAGGTGCAGGTTTTGCTCCAGTAACGCTTCCTCCATTTCAGCAGATTCATATCTGCACTGCACAGTATAAGAATCTCTATCAGGAGCTGGCAGCTCAGGAGAGACTTAGATCCTCATTTTTAAGCTCAGAGGAAAGTGGTCAAAGACCTAGAAACCAGTCCCTTTCACAAGACCTCGGCTTAAGTTTAGCTAAATTAATCACTTTTACACAAATTAAGGACATACGCATTTTGACAAATCTGTGCTTACGACAGAAAATAGTGCTTTCACATAAGCAGCTTTGTCCAGAGAGACAAAAGAGACACTTCACGGATTTCACAGGCTGTAAATCAGAATAGACAACTATGAGCTTCTCCCAAAAAGTAGACTGGAGGCCTGCCTCTGTGTCACTTCAGCCATGGGCTGAGTTTCTTCAGCTACATTTAGTCTTGCAGAACTCAAGTACAGAGAGAATGAAATGGTGGTTTTGAGAATGTGGTCTATGCAAAAGCTGTCTGCAATCACACAGGGTAGACCTCGCTATTGAAGAAAGTGCCTGGTGGGGCTGTAAGCAGGAGTTGCACTACATGGGAGGTCAGGGATCACAGAGCAAGCTGGGGCAGACTCACTACCTGAAGACTTCTGTGTCAGGAGCAGTCTGTTGCCTTTGTCAAGAGAACAGGCATTAAATTGCCAGGAAAATGCATATTTGAAAACCATCAATGTGCTATGAGCAGCCACCAATCTGCCACAAAGTGGCCTGATAAAAGTAGTCATGGTGACACAGAAAGACTCAGCAGCCCTTTCACCAGACAGCACATAGCTCCATTTGACTGGCTACCAAGCACATTGATTTCACTTCTCCACTAAGTATCCAGGAAGCACATTTGGTCCCTCTGACAGCTGGCTTCACAAAATCCTCTTCCCAGCTTCTCCTGAGACACACTGTAATACTTCCATTTTCTCTGGGGCTCTGTGGCAAGACAGTTCCCTTCAACTTCTCAGAGACCCAATTACACAAAGTTATGCTCCTGCATCTGGCGCACAGTCCTACCAGGGACTTGGGAAAGGAGGATGGTTTGGCATCAGGAAGGTTTAATATCAAAGTCACAAGCCTTTACCTGCTCCCACTATAATGAAATTTGCCTGAGGGCTTTCACAGCTCTGCTGCACACTCACCTCCAAGGCCATGACTCCTTCTTGCAAGGGAAGCCCAGTGCCTCCAACAGTCCCCGGACCAAAACTGAAGGGACAGAGTTTGGGCAACCCTTGCACTTCCTCAATCACTATGTCACCTCACTGGAAACACTGACTGACAAAGGATGAGGGACGATAGCAAACAACCGCTGCACATGAAGAACTCTTAGTGCACACTCACAGCGGTGGCCATCTCTGCCTTTTGCCTTTGTGCCCCCTCCAAGGCACTGAGCCAATCCAAACTCTGCAGCCCCCGAATCATGGCTGCTGAGCAGCTACTGAAACAAGGAATCAAAACTTCTCTCATCCCCGAGCACCGGGGAGGTCTGTCAGTTGACAACAGATACAGGTGCTGCAAGCCACGCTGACTGCAACTGTCATCTTTTATGCCATTTGCCAAGGCGTTTGCCTATCTGTTCTTTCCACAGGGCTGCGCACCGTTTTCATTCCAGAGCCACCTAAAACCAGCACGCTTCCATGGCCTACGCCTGACCCAGACTCTGGAAAGGACACAGCGTTTGCCATTCTAACCCAGAACAACGCTGCCGACTTACTGCTCTGCGACACCCACGACAGCAGGTGCACCAGGTGGGTATGTTCAGTACTGTGCAAAGGTCCTTTCTACACCTCCTGTGGCCTCCCTCCCACAGGCACGAAGGCTCCCAGAAGTCAGGAACAACCTGCACAAGCGGCGGTGGGTTTGGTTCACCCGTGTCACAGAGCCTTTGCGGGCACCGGCTGACACCTCGCCAGTGCCTGCTCCGCCTTGGCTGAGGGCTACAGCGCGGGCTGGCACGATGAGAAGGCGCCCAGGTCGCGAGGACAAGCACGGCTGTGCTCTGCGCGCCAGCCGCTGTGCCTGCCTGTCGCTGCCTTGCCGGCTCTCTCCACCCCTTTGGAAAGCCACTGCTGAGCACAGCAGCCCCAGTCTGCCCGCTGCTCAGAGTAAAGTCATCACTCCTCGGCTCCTGGGTGGGTCGGGCAGCTGAGAGGCTCTACTGGGGAGGAAAAAGGCACCAGGCAGCGTACACGTCGGAAGTGATGACAGGCAGCACACTTCCAACGTGCAGTGACGTGACTTTGCAGGTGTATAGGTGCGTTTCCTGGGAGCTTTGCAGCTTCATTCTCTTCCACACCTTGATGCAGTAATGCTTCAGTGCTCAACAGCAAAAAGCTTTCCAGATGGAGACACCAGTGTGTTTCATTCCCCTCCCTGCCAGGCCTGCTGTCTCCTCGAGTTTAACATCCTTTTCTTCCTTCCCAGACCAACACACCATGGAAAACCATACCATGGACTCAGCCGACTGGCCCCTGACAACAGAATTCGACTACAGCGATTCAGCACCGTGCCTGGGAACTGAGGAAAAGCACTTTGCAGCAAAACTTTTGCCACCGCTTTATTCTTTGGTGGTGATATTTGGCTTCACAGGCAACATGCTTGTTGTCCTTATCCTGGTCAAATACAAGCGACTGAAGAGTATGACTGACATCTACCTGCTCAATTTGGCAATTTCTGATTTGCTGTTTGTATTTTCTCTCCCTTTTTGGGCTTATTACGCTGTTCACGACTGGATTTTTGGGGAGGCGCTGTGTAGAATTCTCTCAGGTGTCTACCTCCTTGGCTTCTACAGCGGCATCTTTTTCATAATCCTGTTGACCCTCGACAGGTATCTGGCCATAGTGCATGCAGTGTTTGCTTTAAAAGCTAGGACAGTTACCTACGGCATCCTCACCAGCACTGGCACTTGGGTTGTTGCTATTCTGGCTTCTGTTCCTGGGATGGTATTTCACAAAACTCAAAAGGAAAATACACATTATACTTGCAGTGCTCATTATCCATCAGAGCAGAGAAATGTATGGAAGCAATTCCTGACCTTAAAAATGAACATCCTGGGACTTGTTATTCCAATGTTAATTATGATCTGCAGCTACACGCAAATTATAAGGACATTGCTGCAATGTAGGAATGAGAAGAAACATAAAGCAGTCAGGCTTATTTTTATCATCATGATTGTCTACTTTTTTTTCTGGACACCATACAATATTTGCATTTTCTTGCGTGATTTTGAAGGTGCATTTTACATCACTACTTGTGAAGGCAATGGTCAACTGCACAAAGCAACCCAAGTGACAGAAACAATCTCAATGATCCACTGTTGTATCAACCCTGTAATTTATGCCTTCGCTGGAGAAAAATTTAGGAAGTATCTTCATAGTTTTTTCCGAAAGCAGATTGCATTCCACTTCTCTAAATTCTGTCCCGTTTTCTATGTTGACACAGCTGAACGGGCTAGCTCCACCTACACACAATCTACTGGAGAACAAGAAGTTTCTGCTGCATTGTAAGTTGTGTCTAGCGAAAAAGTGGAATTGACTTTTGTGAAATCAAGTCTGTGATCACAGCCTGCAGAATCTGTTCTGGATATTGGCTCTGAGGCAGCTGCGAAAGATCAGAGAACACATATTTACCAAAGCATGTGTTTGCTCATATATATGGGTGTTTGTACATAAATGAAAAGGACGTATCAAATTAGCTACCTATATATGCTAACGTGGGATCCTGTAGGGAAAAAAAAGTGTTTTCTTTTTTGTAAATGTAAAAAGCATTGTTTTGTACTATAGGGCCCAAGCCTACACAGCCTAAGCTAGCAGACTCATAAACTGATTTTTTGAAGTGAATTAGAGGTTAGAAATTGACACTGGTTCTTTGGACACATCTCTTGACTGTATCTTATACAAGGTATCTCACTCATTTAAACTCAGTCTGTCAAATCTTTTACCAGGCTGGCTGTGCTCCTCTGCAAATAATGTTAAATTGCTGAGGTCTCTGATGCTGAACCTTTACAAGTGGCATGGGAAAATGTTATATATCTAGAAGAGATTCTGATATTTCAAGGTATATTTTCCTTTGTATATGATTGAGTCCAAATGTCTTGGATTTTTCTTATAATAGTTTTAACTACTAGGTGTTGATATCTAAGTGACTTGAGTTTGGTATTTCAGAAGGCTCTCTTTTAATGAACTGCTGGTTTATATGCTGTTCATACTAAAAAGCTAATATAATGACCTATCATTGATCAAAAAATCAAAGTGTTTATATTATTTTACAAATAAAGTATTGCGCATGGAGCTTTAACCAGGTTAGATCAAATCTGGACAATGAGTCAACAGGGTTTCAGCTTTTTAGTGCAGTAATATTGCTTGCCATTTTTCTAGCCTACATAAGAGAGAAACTTTAAAATAAGAAACGAATGCAGCTGTAATGGCTGTAAAACCACAACAGCATTAGAGGTGTGAAAATGATTTCTGAACAGTGCTGACCCAGATGTTTTTAGAGATAAGCATACGGTATAGACATTTAAGTTATCAAAACATATGAGTAAGTAAAAATATTCACTGTTCTACAGAGTCAAGGACATAGAGCATCTCTTCTTTGTTTTAGAAGCAGGTATCATTTGGGGGCTAAGACAATATTTTTTTTCTGCCATTTAGGAGTTTTACAGAGAGCAAAAGCTTCCATAAGTAAGACTGATGGCCAAAGAGGACTGGGCTCCCCCTTAAAGTTCAGATCCTGCAAAGCACTGGAACACATAGAAAACATGAAATATGGGGGGATACTCAGGTGTTTAAGATCATACCATAATCACGCCATGAGTTGATTTAGGTCAAGTTGTGCTTTCTAGAGTTTCTTATTTTTCCCCTAAGACATATGGTTTTGGACAACTCTGGAGACAGGAAATTAAAAGTGAATATTTTGATTGCTGTTCTTATCCAGTAGGGTAATTTCTGTTTCCCAACTCCTCTAGATAGCCTTTTAAATAATATTGTCAAAGAAGCAAATGTCTCAAACAGCCCCAAATAGATTTTACATTGCCAAGTGCTTGTGAAAGCAGGAATTGAAATAGGGTAATCTTTGCTTATTAGACCATTTAGTTTAAGTTATTCACTTTTGTCATATGAAGCACTGCTTTTGGACTACATCCACATGGGAAGTATAACAAAAGTATACTATACCTTCTAGTTTACAAGGTTTTCAGCTGCATACTTTTTTAAGACCTGTGCATCAATTACTTTCTGGACTTTGTATATGCTTTTAAAACAGGTAACTATATCACTATAAGCAGTAATCAGGTAATTTCAGCATAAAATGAGAAATATATGCGTTTATTTTTTTAAAGAGATAGGAAGCTACATGTAGTAACTTCTAGACAGGCTTTTTTTTTCCTTCTAGAATATCTTTGTGAAAATATTTCTGTATTTTATTCTGTTCTTGTCAAGAACTTTCATTTGGCCCCTAAGACACCTTGCCTTTAAGAAGTTACTTTCTCCGGAGGGCTTTGATGCCAGGCAGGGTATGTATCCTGACCAGCCCAGCAGGAGCAAAGTACAACAACCAAACATGCACGAGCTGAATGACAAGCTTTCTGAGGCACGTCAAAAAGCAGCCCAAATCCTCTGCAGTATGCTACAGTGTGGATCTTCCCAAGCCACAAGCAGCTTTTGAAGGGAAGAGGTGGAACATGGATATTGGTGGCCCAGTGGATTAGCAGGTTATCAAGTTTCTATCACTTCACTGAGAAGGGATCACTCTTCATCAAAGGAGAACAAGCCAGATTTCAGCTACTGTAGTGAACTGTGATCCACATTCAAGGAGATAATAGAAAACACAGTATTTGGTAGCACTGCTGGTGCATTCAATTAAGTATTCTGCCAATAGATTGTAAGAATATTTTATGTTGTACAGTCCATTAAAGTTGGTCAACTTTTGTGTGTTAGACTTCTTGATCCTTTCCCCACTCCCTTCCCCCCCTCCCCCCCATTTTTTTTAGAATAGCCCAGAAGAATTAAAAAGGAAGAGAAATTCTTCTTCATAACAGGTTGCTATGATGTTGAAAGAGCTGGCAGGACAAATTCTGAATTTTACAAGTGGACTAAGAACCAGAATTATCAAATAACAAAGGACCATCAAATAACTCCACTGTTCATGTCACTAATAATCTAACAATTAATATGCTATTTTGGTTGCCATTACGTTTGTTTATTTTTACAGATGGGAAAAGCACTCTCACACAATTCATTCTGATCCTAGAAAAGTTTTTTTAAATACGTAAGAATACAAAATGTTGTTAACGACACAGAACATTTTTTAGAGTTTAGGATCTGCCCTAGTGACCAAAGATGTAACATCTAGTAATTACAGCAGACTTGTGCCCACACTTCCCTTCAGTTTTTAGGACTATGGTGCCATCATGCGGCCACACCGTAAGGTTTCACGCTACCCAACAGTCACTACCCCAGCAATGCTTTTGGTACTTTCCTCTTTCGAAACTTTTTTTTTTTTTTTTTTTTTTCCTGGGAGGATCTCCCGTCGAAATTACCACCCCGCACTACGGGCAGCATCAATATTATGCAGACAGCTGCAAGCCTTAGAAAATACTCATGGCTACTAAGAACGGAGGTCTGTTGGGCGACTGGGCATGGTCGGTCACCTTTTCACGACGCGGGCAGATGCAGCAGTGTGACAGGGCAGAAGTAGGGTTCAGCTCCCGCCGTACAACGCGTACTCGTGTTGTCCGGGTTCCAGCCATCTGCTCTGGGAGGAGAGCACTCAACATCCTCGTCCGTCAGCCTGGAAATTACCAGAACAAAACCACACCCTCTGCCGCGCTGCCTGTGGGAAGCGGCGAGGGTGACAACTCGGACAAAACGGGGACGCTCGCGCTCCGCCCCGCGCGCTCCCTCCCCCCTCAGCGGCGCCTCCAACGGCCGGGCCGCAAGAGCGCACGCGCCAATTACCCCGCCCACATACCCGGCGGCGCGCATGCGCCCTCCAAACGATTTCCCGCCCCGCCCCGTCCCCTCTGGAGGCCCCACCCCCTTCCCGACAGCCTCGGCTCCTCCCCCGCGCCTGCGCAGTGCGTGGGGCGCCGCTTTCCCGCCCGTTGTGAAGGGGCCGGGCGGTGGGTGAGGGGCCGGGGCGGTGGCGGGGCCAGTGGGGATAGGGATGGATGTGCGGTTAAACCGGCAGTGCTGAGCTCCCGCTGCGGAGCGGGGGCCGGGGGGTGTGCGGGAGCGCTGGGGTGAGGGCGGCAGCAGCAGCTGCAGAGTTCCGGCGTGAGGGGGTGGCCCTGAGGGGAAGGGGCATCCCGGTAGGCCCGGCCTTCCCTGCCGCTCCCCGGTCTGCTCCAGCGGAAGCCGCCGTGAGGCAGGCCCGCGGGGACGCGGCTGGGTTCAGCAGCTGGTGGAGGTGGGCGGTGCGTCCCGTCACGGCGCGGGTCCGGGAGAGGCCGAACGTGTCGGGACGCTTATTGAATTTTGCTTCTCAGTTAAAGGATGAAAGGTAGTAAGGAGCCTTTTTTTGTGAAATTCATAAAGTCTTCTGAGAACTCGGAGTATTTTTTTAAAGCTCTTGAGGTAAGTAGGCTTGATCATCTTTCTCAGCTCGATGTATTTATTATCTAATTAAATGATTTCTGTGGTTGACTTAGATGTAGGGTATATGTATACATCTGAAAATACGGCTATTGCTTAATGGGGATGTGTAGTGATTAATAAAGTTTGTTGAGCAAGAACAATTCTGTTGAAGAAATTACTTCTTGATCAAGAAATAATTTCAAAACCTACTGACATTTAGTGAAGTGATATGTAGCCTGGAAGGTCTGGATGGTGGTCGCTTATTTAATCACTAAATAAACTTAGGAAGGGCATTTGGATTGCTTTCCACCTGGAGAAGTTAGTGGGATCTGAAGGCCTGAAAGTTTGTATAATGAATGTTTAAGTCTGAGTATTGTGAAGACTTGGGGGGAATGAGGAGGATGCCCATAAGATATTTTAGCCTTTCAGACAATGTACTTCTACATGGTAGCTTTGTTGTGAGCTGTTTCAATTAAATGTACTTATGTAGTTTCCACAGGATTGGCCATTTGTGACTTGCTAATTAAATAAATGTTGCTGTATGTGCTGCTTTCCTGCAGTCTATAAAGGAATTTCAGTCAGAAGAACATCTCCAGATCCTTGAAGAAGAAACAGCGCTCGATATAAAAGAAAATGATAAATCACTTTACATTTGTGATCCTTTTCGAGGCGTTGTTTTCAATCATCTCAAGAAGGTATGCTACCCATTAACTTCCAGCTTTACTCTTTCTTTTCTAGAAGGACTTGTGTTCATACTTATACTCTGTTGTCTCTTTTTGCACTGAATATAGCAGTATGAAGTATTCACAATATAATCTTTAAAACTTCACTGCATCCTATATTTAAGGTGACTAGCAAAACATAGGGGTTATTTTAAAGCATGTGGAAAAATTAATAGTATGATTAGTTCCAGTTCTACTTGGGTCATTAAGCTGGCTCTCACACTTTTCATCTCCTTAGTACCATGATTTTGTTTGACCTGGAAAGAATTGTCCAGCAGACAAAGATAAGCTAGCTAAAATTCTCTGGCACGTTAGTGATAGTATCTGCTGCTCTTACCGAGGCCAGAAAACCTACAATGATTGTACTGAAGATCCGAAGCTGAAAGTAAAAACAGAACTGTCAACTACCTGGGGGTGCTTGAGGAGGAAGACAGACCAAGGGCCCTGCCTTCCTCAGGATTCAGGGACAATTAAAGCCTTCCTTATACCAGTGTACCTTCTGTTAATTGTCTTTTCCATTTTTTTTGTTGTTGTTTTATTGCAGCTTGGTTGTAGAATTGTTGGACCACAGGTAGTCCTGTACTGTATGCAGGCCCAGCGATGTGTCCCAAGAGCTGAGTATCCCGTGTACAACATGACCATGGCCGATGTAACAGTATCCTGTACCAGCCTTGAAAAAGATCTTAGGGTAATGCATTGTCCAAAATGGATTGTTTAGCTGATTATCATTGAAATTCTCTTTAGATGGCTCACTTCTAACGCAGCAGTCATACTATATATAGGTCTAATTGTGCCTTTGTCTAGATATATCTACTCTTTCTGTAGTTTGTAGACTACGTATAGTTTATGTAGAGAGTTGTATGGAAAGAGGGAGACATATCTAATATAGAAATGTGTATGTAGTGGTGTATCTGTGCATGCACATGTATATATTATTTAAGTATATATGTATATTATCATATGAGATTTCAGCTGTAATAATGTGAGAGTAAAGGTATGTTTTGTTTATTTTTATTAACTGATGAGACAGATCTCTTATTTTGCTAGTTTGTCTGCGGCTATAATGCTATAGACAGCATGCTCTATTTCTGGTTACTTAAAACTACATGGTAAAGGTACAATACCCAGCTAGCTATGGTTTAAATAGTTTATCTTAGAAGTTTACTTTTTTTATTTATTCCCATATCTTTCTAATTTATACTACCTAATATGTCAACCATCTGCAAAATTTCACTCACACAGTATGACTGTAGTATTTTTGTTAAGGGTACATATTTGTTCAGCTTATCATAAATGCAAATAAAATGGAAATTATATTTGATGGGTTTTGTGGCTTCTGTACATACATTTTGTATTTTTGAACAGGTATTTAGGAGAAACCATGGACAATTGAAATCCATGGTTTTGTTTTTTAAGGTGAATGTGAGCGTGATTTACGTTCTCTCTTTTTTCTTGATAATTTTCTATAATATTTTTTTTTCCACCCAGGAAGAAGTTCATAAATATGTGCAGATGATGGGTGGACGTGTGTACAGAGACCTCAATGTGTCAGTAACTCATCTTATAGCTGGAGAAGTTGGCAGCAAGAAATACTTAGTAGCTGCGTCTTTGAAAAAACCTGTTTTGCTTCCCTCTTGGGTTAAGACACTGTGGGATAAATCTCAGCAAAGGTATAAAAAAAGACAAAATAAAACTGTGTTTGTTTTGGGGACTGTTAATTCTGATACAGACTACCTTCTGGTTGATTTTATTCAGCAGAAAAAAATATTTCTCCTTTCTTTTATTCCTTTAGCATAATGAGATACACTGATGTTAACATGGAAGACTATGCTTGCCCAGTGTTCCTTGGCTGTACAATTTGCGTAACTGGTTTAAGTAGTTCAGACAGGAAAGAAGTCCAGCGCCTCACTGCTGAACACGGTGGGCAGTATACCGGGCAGCTCAAGATGAATGAATGTACTCACCTCATAGTTAAAGAGCCAAAAGGTAGAACTTGCAGAGTAAATGTTATTTTCACTGTTAAGTAGTGTAAATATGCATGGGAGTTTGAACAGTCTCTGTGTCTGCTTCAGTGTTGCTCTTACTAATTCTGTTTGGGGAATCACTGTTGATGGGAAGAGTAGCACAAGGTACTCTTACTCTAAAGGCATGAGTAAGAGAACAAAAAAAAACCCCAAAAAACAAACAAGCAAAAAAAAAACCCAAAAACAAAAACCAAAACCCAAACAAAAACAAACAAACAAAAAACCCCAAAACCAAAAAAAAAAAAAGAGACCCAGATGGTATTTAAGGGAAGAAAAAGGGAGAGTCCTAGAGGGAGTGGAAGAATAAGGAAAAAACTACGTTTTTTGGGAGAGCTGGATTGAAATTGGATTGTGGATTGATATTTTTTTAACTGATCTATTCTTTGTGCCTTCTGAACTCCCTATTAAGATAAAATGAAAGCTTCCTTTTTTTTCCTCTTGGGAAGATGAAAAGAATGTAGTTATAGTGTGAGAAGAATGGAAAGGGTTTTCTTTTTTTTTTACTCAATTTCCCTCCCTTTCCCTATGGGGAAATATCCTGGGACTTTTTAAGCTTTTTTTTTTTCCTTATGCTTGAAAGCTTTAAAGCCCTTTTTTTTGGTGTTTTT